GGGGGTGGGTGTGTGGGAGACGAAGGAGTGGTGCTAGGGGGGTGTGTGGGAGTAGAGCTAGTGGTGTAGCAGTGGGTGTGTATGAGGGGGGTGGGACTGTGTGCGGGAGGATGAGTGGAGGTTGCCAGTTTGTCGTCAGCAACACCTGTATTCCGGGGGCTTCGCCCGGTAGCCCAGTCGTAGCCAGCTGTGCCAGCCGCCCGTGGGTCCGTTGCTCGTCTGCCGCTACTTTAGCCGCGGGGCCAGTTACTCCAGTAGTCCGGGGGCGTCGCCCGGTAGCCGCTGTGCCAGTGTGCCTCCTGTTGCCCGTGTGTCTGCAGCTTCAGCTGTCGCCTCCCAACTCCTCTCGCTCTCACTCCTCCTCCTCACTTGCCCGTTGTGACCACCACTAGTTTTGCTTATAATTGTGAACTATGAACTATTTCTTCTTGAACTTGTGCTCAGAATGTGTGGTGACATTGTGATCCACCCTGAGCTTGTTTTGTTTTGCCTGCACTGCTGATTACACCCCACTTTGGCTATGGGGGTGTGTCAGAATATTATCTTATTGTTCTAGCCTGTAGTGGGGTGCTCTATAGCGAGTACAACCCTTCTAGGGTTTGCTATTTGTATCCTCATTCTTGCTAGTTCAATCCTCTTTCTTCCTTCTGATTCTGACAACCTCTACTCCCGCCACCACTCCCACCGCCACCCCCACTCCCTCCGCTGCCTCCACCGCCACCTCCACCACCCCCGCTAGCTCCTCCCGCGCCCTTGCCCCCCTTGCCCTTGCCAGAGCGGCGTCTCCCGCTAGGGGCAGACGCCGCACCGACCGACTCAAGACCAACGAGGTCGGCCGCAGCAGTAGAGGCGACAGAGGGCTAAAGGGGGGAAGGGGAACACCCCTCAAAGATGGGGGTGCAAGGGTCACCACGAGAGGCTCCTACAGCGACTATGCTCTTCTCCGCTGCTAGGAGGGCCTTCTCTAGGAGGTCAAAAGTGAGAGTGGTGGGAGAGACTGAGAGGAAGTGGTCTCTGACTACACGAAGGGAGTCAGGGAGGCGGGTGACTATATAATAGAGAGTGATGTACATGGGGGGGGGTTCTTGGCGCAGAACTGAGCAGGAAGCGCAGCGCAGTAGCGAGTGTCACTAGTGCGGAGGTGCGTAATGAGGTCAGTGACGGTGGGAAAGGCAGCAAGGTCAGGGAAGAGGTACGGTAGCATGAGGCGGCTCAGTGTAGCAGTGGCAGGGGAAGATTGGCGCACAACTACAGCGTCGTACAAGGTCTGAGCACTCTTGTACTGACTAAAGTGCGCGCGCTCAGTGGTAGGCAGGTGGCGACGCATAGTAAGACGTGCAGTAGCATCGCGAGTGGCCCATTGTGAGCGAACAGTGGCGTCGGCATCAGCAGCAGGGGCAGGGGAGGCACCAGAGGTGAGGTCAAAGAGGGAGAGACCGTCTGCCCTATCGCACTGTAGGAAAAGCTGCAGGTCATCTACCCAGACGTCAAAGTCAATGGCCCGACCCTCAGTGTCAAAAGCGAGAACACTGGGGGTAGCCATGACTGCAGTAGACTAGCAGCGCTAACTGTAGGGCAGGGGCAGTGCAGTGACAGAGACGCTGCTCTCACCAGACAGGGCGGTTCGGGCAGCTCGGCAGCACAGCAGCTCGGCAACACGGCGGCTCGGGCGACTCGGGCGGCTCGGCAGCAACTGCGGCTTGGCTACACCCGCGGCTCGGCTCCTCAGCTGATCAGGCGGCTCGGGCGGCTCGGGCGGCTCAGGCGGCTCGGTACGCAGGTAGGGCGACGGGGCCGGGGCGCAGGGAGGGCGACGGGGCCGGGTCGACGGTAGGGCGACGGGGCCGGTACGCAGGTAGGGCGACGGGGCCGGGGCCTGGGCGCAGGTAGGGCGACGGGGCCGGGTCGACGGTAGGGCGACGGGGCCGGTACGCAGGTAGGGCGACGGGGCCGCGGCCGGGGCGCAGGTAGAGCGACGGGGCCGGGGCCGGGGCGCAGGTAGGGCGACGGGGCCGGGACCAGGGCGCAGGTAGGGCGACGGGGCCGGGGCCGGGGCGCAGGTAGGGCGACGGGGCCTGAGTCGGAGGTGGGGCGACGGGGCCGGGGTCGCAAGCAGGGTGATGGGGCTGGGGCCGGGGCCGCAAGTAGGGCGACAAGGCCAGGGTCGCAGACGGGGCGACGGGGCCGGGGCGCAAGCAGGGCAACGGGGCTAGGGCCGGGGCGCTGGTAGGGCGACGGGGCCGGGGCCGGGGCGCAGATAGTGGCGGCGGCGCCAGGGTCACAGTGGGGGCGACGGGGCCGAGGCCGTAGGTAGGGCGACGAGGTTGCTAGGGCGGCTCGAATGAGGGGCCGCTAAGGCGGCTCGACGTGGCCACTAGGGCGGCTCGACGAAGAAAGAGAGGGGAGCGCGACTCGGGCTGAGCGCGCTCCGGGCAGGAAATTTTTATTTGACTTGGTGGGCCCTAGGCACAGTTCCCACGAGGGAACCTGCTCGATACCATGAGAAAACTGAAACGAGAATGATGCACGAAGGAATGAAAGTGGTACAAATATGAAACCCTAGAAATGTGTACCCCATATAGGCTACCCTACTACAGCCTACACAACATTATAATTTGACAAGTTGGGCAGCTCACCCAGGTTTGTGCACGTTTTTCTCTTCTACAGCTTCGACTTCACAAGGGCGTGAGCCTCAGTGTCAGCGGTGGCAAAGACCAAGTCGTCGACGTATACGAGGATGTAGAACGGCGGCAGCGAAGTGTCGGTGTGCAGAATTAGCGACGGGTCAGCAGCAGAAGGTGCAAACCCAAGCACCGCAAGTGTCGTCCTCAGTGTGTCATGCCACTCACGAGGCGCGTGACGGAGACCGTAGACCGGCCCGCGGAGGCTCCGGTGGGTACCTACAGGAAACGACCCAGTGAATCTAGTTGGGCAGCGCAGCCAGATCTCCTCGTGCAGACTGCCCTGTAAGAACGCTGTGCTGAAGTCAAGAGAGTGAAACTCGTAGTCAGGGTGGGCGGCAACGTGCAGCAGCACCCAAAGAGTGGTCATCTTCGGGGTGGGGGAGAAGGTCTGGAAGAAGTCAACTTTGTATCGCTGACTGAAGCCTCTAGCAACGTAACGAGCCTTGAAGATAGGCGGAGGACCCGGCGGCCGCTTCACCCTGAAAATCCACATGCCATTGACATTGACTACGTTCTTCCCAGGAGGGGGAACAGCGTCAACGGAAGTGCCTGTGGACTTCCAGGATGCCATCTGTGCGTCCATGGCTGTCTGCCACTGAGAGGAGTACTCACCCACGATCGCCTCAGCGAAAGAGCACGGGGTCGGGATGTCTGGAGCATCCGGGGCAAGCATCATGGCCACGAGATGAGGCGCAGCGGTTGCAAGACACTCAAAGTCCTCGTGCCTGTCCTCAAGGACGTCCGTGCCAAGAGCACACCCACCCCCGACGGACGAAGGACAGGCAGACTCAGACTCAGCAACAAGACTAGTAGCCAAGTCGAGACGACAGGCAGCAGCAAAGTTAACAAGCTCATAGACTAAGGCAGGCGCAGCAGCAGACTCAAACGACGGGTCAGTGACAGCAGTGGCTAGCAGACGCGTGATAGTAGGGTGAGCAACACGAACCAGGTCAGACTCAGGGTCGGTTCCGTCAGCAAGAGAGGACACTGGAGGAGACGGCATGGTAGCACGCTGTGGAACAGAGGAATGACGAAGTGCCATAGTGTGCATGCCACGGACTAGAGGCGACTGCTCACGAGGAGCACGACGACCAGTGCGACGAGCGCGAACAGGCGAGGCAGGATGAGACGCAGGCTCATGACGCTTTGTAAGCAGGTCTGTTAGCTCAGTGTATGGAGAATGAGCAGGCAGTGGTGTGCTTGGCCGTAACGGGAGGCCAGTAGAAGACGGGTGGCTAAGAACCTTGCGAAGCACGGATTTAGGCGGCGGCAGAGAAGACGGTGACGGCGGAGCAAAAAACAGTCGTGGCTAGGCAGTGCCACCAGTACCAGTAGCTCTAGCGCCTCCAGTAGTTCCACAACCCCCAGTTCCTGTGCTTCCAGCAACTCCAGAACCTCCAACTCCAGCTCCTCTAGGAGCTCCAAAACCCCCAGCTCCAACGCCTCTACAAGCACCACCTCCAGCTCTAGCGCCTCCAGCAGCAGCACCTCCAGCTCTAGCGCCACCAGCAGCAGCACCCCTAGAACCGGCACCTTCAGCCCCAGGATCCCCAACTCTAGGGTCGATAGTACTAGCTCCAGGGCCTCCAGCTCCAGCTCCTCCAGCGGCAGCACCCCCAGAACCGGCACCTCCATCTCTGGGGTCGACAGCACCAGCTCCAGGGCCTCCAGCCCCAGTACCTCCAGCAACAGCACCCCCAGAACCAGCACCTCCAGCTCTGGGGTCGACAACACCAGCTCGAGGGCCTCCAGCCCCAGTACCTCCAGCAGCACCAACCCCAGAACTGGCACTTCCAGCTCCAGGGTCGACAGCACCAGCTCTAGGGCCTCCAACCCCAGTACCTCCAGCAGCAGCACCCCCAGAGCCGACACCTCCAGCTCGAGGAGCAGTACTAGGCCCGGCAGCTCCAGTACCTCCAGTACGAGCACCTCCAGAACCAGAGAAAACAGTACTCCCAGTGCCTCCACGACAAGCAGCTCCAGTAGCACAACTTCTCGGGCGGGTACGCGACGTAAGCCACTCTCGTGCCTGTTGTGGTGAGAGAGGCCAACGTTGGGAAACGAGACTCGGAGGAACGCCAGGAGACTCAGCACCCCCCGACCCGGCACCCTCCGGCGCAGCACCCCTAGGCTCCACACCTGTAGGCTCAGCACCCCCAGGCTCCGCACGCGCAGGCTCAGCACCCCCAGGCACCGCACCCCCTAGCACCTCACGCGCAGGCTCAGCACCCCCTGACGGAGCACCTACAGCAGCACCTCCCTGAGCAGCACCTTAGTCACTAGTGACCTCTACAGGCTCAACCAAGGGGAGCGGGTCTACCTGAGACACACCTGAAGGAGCAGGACCCTGAGGGGGGAGGGGGTCTACCGGAGGGGGACCTGGAGCGAGGAAAAGCGGCGGGGGAGGGAGAGGGGCAGTGCGATAGGGGAAGAGACGGTAGAAAGAACGTTAAAGGTGACGTCTTGTGAGGGAAGGACACGGTGCGAGGTGGGGTGGTAAAACTGCCAGCCATGCGCGTCAGGGAGTTGCCAGTGCGGAGAACGTAAGCGCAGGGACCTGCACCCCCGCACCTCCCATGCCCAGCGTACCACTCACAAAGCTGCTGAGGCAACGGGGCCTCACGGGAACGCGGCTGCTGCTGGCGCTGGCCACCGCCAAAGCCTCCACACTGCACGGCTCCACCCCGACCAGCACCACCGCCGCCACCACCCCCACTGCCGCTGCCGCTGCCGCCTCCACCGCCGCCACCGACTCCCCCACTCCCGCCTCCACCCCCACTTCCACTCCCACCCCCTCCACCACCTCCACCGCCACAACTGCCGCCCCCTCTGTCCCTTCCACCACCCTTGCCCCCCTTGCCCTTGCTGCTGTGGCGCCTCCCACTAGGAGCAGACGCAATGCCGACCGCCTCCGTGCCATTGAGGTCGACAGCAGCAGCAGAAGCAACAGAGGGCAAAAGGGGAACGGGGGAGCACCTAAAAAAAGGGGGCGCCAGGGTCGCCGCGAGAAGCTCCTACAGTGACTATGCTAGTCTCAGCTGCAAAGAGGCGCTCCTCGAGCAGGTCAACGGAGAGCTCAGTGGGGCAAAGGGAGAGAAAGTGGTCCCTGACTGAGCGGAGAGAGTCAGGGAGGCAGGTGACGAGGTAGAAGAGGGTGATGTACGTAGGGGGGGGGGGGGGAGGTTCTTGGCGCAACACTCAGAGGGAAGCACAGTGCGGTAGCGGGTGTCACTAGTGCGGAGGTGAGTGATGAGGTCAGCGATTGTGGCAAAAGCGGCTAGATCAGGGAACAAGTACGGTAGCATGATGCGGCTGAGGGCAGCAGAGGCATGGGAGGAGGAGTGTGCGACAACAGCATCATACAGAGACTTAGCAGTCTCGTATTGGCCAAAGTGCGCGCGCTTAGCAGACGACAGGTGACTACAAATAGCAAGACGAGCAACAGCGTCACGAATAGTCCACTGCGAGCAAAGCGTACTGTCTGCGTTGGCAGCAGGTGCAACAGAGGCGCCGGACGTGTGATCGAACAGCGAGACCCCATCCCTGGAGTCGCATTGAAGATAGAGGTGCAAATCATCTACCCAAACCTCAAAATCGACCACACGGCCCTCAACATCGAAGGTAAGCACATTAGGACTAGCCATGGCAGCACCCGCGACAAGGCAGGGCGTTGCGCCTAGGTAGGGCGGCGCGGCTCGGTAGGGCGGCGCGGCTCGGTAGGGTAGTGTGGCTCGGCTAGGCGGCGCGGTGCGGTAGGCAGGCAGGCGTAGCTGCGTGCTTGGCAGGGCGGGCACTTACTAGGGGCGGGTGCAGGGCAGGGCCGTGACTGGCGGGTAGGGCAGGGCCGGTACAGGGCGGCAGCTGGGCAGGGCCGCGAAGGGGCGGCGGTAGAACAAGGCCGCGACAGGGCGGCAGCAGGGCAGGGCCGCGACGGGGCGGCAGTAGGGTAGGGCCACGACCGGGCGGCTGCAGGTCAGGGCCGCGACGAGGCGGCGGTGAGGTAGGGCCGCGACTGGGCGGCCGAAGGGCAGGGCCGTGACGAGGCGGCGGTAGGGTAGGGCCGCAACAGGGCGGCAGGAGGGTAGGGCCGCGATGAGCGGCAGCAAGGCAGGGCTGCAATGGGCGGCGAGGCCAGGCCGCGACGGGCGGTTAGGGCAGGCCGCGAAGGGCGGTGACAGGGCAGGGCTGCGGCGGGCGGCTAGGGCAGGGCCGCGACGGGCCGCTAAAGGGCAGGGCTGCGATGGGCCGTTAGGGCAGGGCCGCTACGGGCCAGGAGGGAAGGGCCGCTACGGGCGGTAGTAGGGAAGGGCGCACGACGGAGTTGGTGAGGCAGGCGCGAGGCGCGCTTCGGGCAGGGCAGGAATTTTTTTTATCTTGGTGGGCCCTTAAAAAAAAACGTTCCCACTAGGGAACTGTTACTCTTAAAACTTGCTTTGCTAGCTACTAACAGGCTTTAGGTGGCACTAGAACTCTCTCCTCGAGGTCACCTCCGAGGGTCCTTGGGTGCTTGACCTAGGTCAGCCCCTATCCAAGGGTCCGAGTGTGTAGAGAGAGAGTTGTAGCAACAGCTAAAGTGTAGTAGCAATCGTCTCTTCCTTGGCGTTGTCCAGAGAATTAACTATAGCAGCGTACTTGCAGCAGGCACAGGAGAAATCCTTTTACCCAAGTTATGTTTTGGAACAACAAGAGCAACCTGTTTTATACTAAGCTAAATCATTCTACTCCTACCTTGATCTAAGTGTTCCAAATTCACACCTCGTAGCGCGAGCAGAATTTCAGGTTCCCTCCCATTCCCTTCGTGACCTGGCGCGCCATCGATGCGTCGCCGAAATATTTCGACTTTCACGCGCGAACATTGTTGACGGTGCCGATCCGATAATTTCACTTTGCGCCAATCTCAAACGGTTGCGATGAAGTCGGTTCAAAACCTGAAACATCGGTGGTGATCAGCATTACATTCGATCGCTCAACTGCTGCTCGCCACGTGCCTCCGTTCCGAGCTTACTTTTGATCCGAACTGTCAGTGCTGCTAAAAACGTGAGTAACAAAACTCACTCGAACATCTCGCTGATCTCGCCATCTGCGCTGAAAAAACGATTCGCGAGCATATAGCACTCGCGCTACTGAGCACGCTAATGAACACGCTAATTAACACGCTAATGAACACGCGCACGAACACGCTAACGAACACGCGAATAACACGCTCACGAACACGCTAACGAACACGCGAATAACACGCTCACGAACAGGCTAACGAACACGCAGCACGAGCAAGGACTAATCATGTTCCTCGAACAGTGGCAGCGCGAGCAGCTGCTCGCTCGAACTCATGAGCAACTACCATTCCGAATGGCAGCCAATCAGAACCTCCAAAACAGCTCGCTCAAAACCAAAAAGGCAGACTCACCCCTTGAACGCCACCAACCGCTCCCATTGGTCAAGACCAGCCTATACTTCACCTCGGTTCTACCAAACTCGCCGCTCCATTCAGCTGCACTTACAAAACCTGAATCATAACCTCAAATCGGCAGATTGAATTACAGAAAAGGTGTTTCTGTAATCAACAGGAACCTGCTCTGAAACCATGTCAGAATCAGGAGTGAAGAATGACTAGAAACACAGTAGTACAAGGTTTGTATATGCAAAACCTAATTAGGCTGTACCCCTTAGTGAGTGCCCCATTACAACCTATAGCATAGTTCTGAGACTTTTGGCATCGAAATAGTCCTTCTTGTAGCTTGAGATGTAGCCAATTGCTTCATGAGCCTCCTCCTTTGAATTGCTGCTCATGACTTTGATTCTCTTGGAGATCTTGGAAGGGCCTTGTAGCATCTTGCACGAAGAGAATGCCTTGCATTAGGTGCTTTTTCTGACTATTTTAGTCAAACTTTATGAGAGTCAAAGTTTCATAATGCTTGTATATCATGTATGCAGCAAAGATAGGAATTCTTGTTTTCACAATTACTACCACTGGAATTCCTACTTCCGCTACATATTCTCAAGAACTTTTCTCCAAAAGAATCTAGGGCTTTTCTCAACCCAACAAAATCAAACCACAACTTTGTTGATAGCCGAATCTCTTCTCAGATTGCTAGAGGAATAGATTGATAAGGAAAGGAGGTGGGTACAAATTCAAACCCTAACAACCTATACTCTCTAATGCATGCATCACTATAGCCTAGAACATACATATATATATGTTTGACACACCCCCATAGGCAAGTAAGGGATAGCAAGAGAGAGCAATAAGCCCACATGGTCACAAGACTAGTCAAGAGAAGCAACAACATCACAAAAAACCTTGGTTTTTGAAGGGGGTTCAAAGGGGGGTACAATTCAGGTGTTTTGGTTGGTGAAGTTCCAAAGTCAAATCGCGACCAATCACGGAATGAAATCGGACCGCGTTTGTTTGTCGAAGTCTAGATCAAATCCGCGACTCCGGTACATTGCCGTTTATTTGAAGCGTGCCAAACTTGTTGTGATTTTGTAATTGGTTTTTTAAGCTTTGACTTCCCTAAAATGTGTCTGCTTGAAAATATGCTGGCCATTTTATTACAAGATAAATGCATCACATTTGATACTTATTAAGGAGATAGGTACTGTCCAGGTGGAATGCCTTCACCACGTGGACGTGGTGGAGCAGCGCTTCAATCGGAATCACGGAGTACGCGTACATTCCCGTCGTCCACTTGAGGTGAATGTTGAACAAGAATGAATGAAGTAAGAGTGAAATGAGTACAGATATGAAAACCTAGGAATGTGTACCCCCTATAGGCTAACCCATTGTAGCCTAAACAACTACAACAGCATATATAATGTTTGACACACCCCCATAGGCGAAGTGGGGGAGAACTAGGGGTCACAAGACCAGTCAAGTAAAGCAAAGCAAAGCAAAGCAAGCTCAGGGTGGATCACAACGTCACCACACAATCCGAGCACAAGTGCAAGGCCACAAGGCCAGTTCACATGCAGGAGTACATATATATATATATGTAACAGTACAAAGAGGGTCAAGAGGAGAGCAAGTGAGGCAAGACAGACACAAGACCCAGTTGGGTACAGCAGCGCTGATGATCACAAGGCGGAAGTGCCTTGGTGAAGACATCAGCAGTGTTGGCCTCAGAGGCCACGTACGCAAGTCGCAACTGACCACGCTGCTCTAGTTCACGTGCAAGGAAGTAGCGGAGAGCAATGTGCTTTGTTCTGTGCTCCAGTCTCTGCTCCCGACACAAGGCCAGCATGGCCTTGTTGTCGACGTACAGGACTGGAGGAGAACGAGGCGGCTCTCTAAGGTCGGTCAGCAAGTAGGTAAGCCAGCGAAGCTCCTGAGCAGCCATGGCCCCTGCGTAGATCTCAGCCTCACAACTGGAGCCGAGAACAGAAGACGAGCGAGTAGCCCGCCACGAGACAGAGCCGGAACCAAGGCTGAAGGTGTAACCCTGTGACGACCGCTGCGTAGCCTGGTCGTCAGCCCAAGAAGCGTCTGCGTGTCCAGTGAGGACCACTGGACTCCGCCCTCCAAGCACTAGCCCCATGCCCGACGTACTGCACAAGTAGCGCAACACCCTCTTCGCTGCAGCCATGTGCTCTGGTCGGTGTCTCCTAGGAGCAACATAGCGTGCAAGAATGCTAAGAGGGTATGCAAGGTCAGGTCGTGTGCAGGTCATCAGGTACATGAGACAGCCAACAAGCTCTGGGTACGGGCCACTCGACTCTACGGACTCATCCGAAGGCAGAGCTGAGAGCGAGTGGCGAGTAGACAGAGGAGTGGCCTGAGGCGAGGAGTACGTGAAGCCGAAGCGCTGAAGGACCTGCTGCACCATGTGTGACTGAGTCAGGGTAATGGTGCGGCGTGCTCTGTCCCGGGTGATCTGCAAGCCAAGGTAGCTGCGCAGTTCACCCAGGTCAGTGCACGTGTGTCTCTTCCGCAGCTCGGACTTCACGTAGGCGAGTCCAGTAGTGTCAGCTGTGGCAAAGACCAAGCCGTCGACGTACACGAGGATGTAGAACGGCGGCAGAGAGGTGTCGGTGCGCAGAAACAGCGACGGGTCGGCAGTAGAAGGAGCGAACCCAAGAGCCGCAAGCGTAGTCCTCAGTGTGTCGTGCCACTCACGTGGCGCCTGGCGGAGACCGTGGACTGGACGCCGGAGACTCCACTGGGTACCAGGAGGGAAAGACCCAGTGAAGCCAGGTGGGCGGCGCAGCCAGATCTCCTCGTGCAGGCTGCCCTGCAAGAAAGCTGTGCTGAAGTCGAGAGAGTGCAGCTCGTAGTCCCGGTGAGCAGCAACGTGCAGCAGTACCCGAAGAGTGGTCATCTTCGGGGTGGGGGAGAAGGTTTGAAAGTAGTCAACTACCTGCCGCTGACTGAAGCCACGAGCCACGTAACGCGCCTTGAAGACAGGCGGAGAACCCGGCGGCCGCTTCACCCTGAAGATCCGCATGCCACTGACGATGTTCGCCCCAGGAGGGGGGACAGCGTCAACGTAGGTGCCTGTGGACTTCCAGGAAGCCATCTCTGCATCCATAGCTGCCTGCCACTGAGAGGAGTAGGGACCCTCTATCGCCTCCGCGTAAGAGCGCGGAGTCGGGATGTCAAGTGCATCCGAGTCTCCCTCAGGGGTAAGCAGTACGGACACGAGATGAGGTGAAGCAGCGGCCAAGCACTGGAACTCCTCCTGCCTGTCCTCAAGGACGTCCATGCCAAGGGCACACGCACCCCCGACGGACGGAGGACAGACAGACTCAGACTCAGCGACAAGACTCGCAGCGTAGTCTAGGCGACAGTGAGCAGCAAAGTCGACGAGCTCAGCAACTAGGGCAGACGCAGCAGAAGACTCGAAAGAAGGGTCAGTGACGGCAGTAGCAAGGAGACGCGTGGCAGCACGAAGAGAGTCCAACGCAGGGTCGGCGAGAGCAGGAAGAGAGGACGCAGGAAGAGAAGGCAAAGGGGCACGCAGAGGAGCAGTAGACGGACGTAGAGACATCCGGTGCGTGCCAGGGTCAGGAGGAGGACGCTGGCGCGAACTACGAGCACTAGCGCTAGTAGGACAGACAGGCGAAGCAGGACGAGACGCAGACTCACGACGCTCAGTATGACCGCCAGTAGGACCAGTGTAAGGAGAAGGAGCAGGTAGTGGGGAGGCCGGCTGCAACTGTAACTGTGACGGGACAGGCTGTGAACACGCTAAGGGAGGAGGACCAGGAGGAGGCGAGAGACCAAGAACCTGCTGAAGGAGCGGAACGAAGTACGGCTGAGGGCGCGCGGCGACTCCAGACACAGCAGGGACAACACCTGTACCCCCAGCGGTAGTACCAGAACCAGCAGCAGCTCCAACGCCCAGGTCCCCAGTACTAGCCTCAGCACCAACGCCCGAGTCCTCAGCACCAGCAGTGGCTCCAACACCAGGGTCCACAGCACCAGTAGCACCTCCAACTCCTGGGTCCGCAGCACCAGCAGCAGCTCCAACGCCAGGGTTCTTAGCACCAGCCGCAGCCCCAACGCCCGGGTCCTCAGCACCAGCAGCACCTCCAACTCTCGGGTCCGCAGCACCAGCAGCAGCTCCAACGCCGAGGTCCGCAGCACCAGCAGCAGCTCCAACGCCAGAGTCCTGAGCACCAGCCGCAGCCCCAACGCCCGGGTCCTCAGCACCAGCAGCACCTCCAACTCTCGGGTCCGCAACACCAGCAGCAGCACCAAGGCCAGGGTCCGCAGCACCAGCAGCAGCTCCAACGCCCGGGTCCATAGCACCACGGGCAGCCGGGTCCGTGAGACGAGGCGCACCCCTGCGAAGTGTGCAACGGCGCTCGTACCACTCACGGATCCGCTCACGAGAGGGGAGCTCCCGACTAGGAGGAGAAGTACCAGCACCAGTCCCTGTAGTGCGCCTGGTCCCAGAGGTAACACCCCGGAGGCTGCAGTACTGTAAGTACCACTCACGCAACTGCTCCGAGGAGAGGTCTCGTCCAGGTGTAGCACCCTCAGGCCCAGCACCGCCAGAGTCAGAACCCCCAGGCTCAGCACCCCCAGGCTCAGCACCCCCAGTCACCGCACCCCCAGGCTCAGCACCCCCAGAGTCCGCACCCCCAGGCTCAGCACCCCCAGAGTCAGCACCTCCAGGCTGAGCACCCCCAGTCTCCGCACCCCCAGGCTCAGCACCCCCAGCACGACGAGAGTCGACAGCAACCTCAACAGGCTCGACCGGGTCTACCTGAGACACACCTGAGGGAGCGGCACCCTGAGGGGGGAGGGGGTCTACAACAGCAGCACCTGGCGCGAGGAAGAGAGGCGGGGGTGGGAGCGGGGCAGTGCGGTAGGGGAAGAGGCGGTAGTAGGGGACAGACTCGTCAAAAGTGACGTCCTGAGAGGGCAAGACCCGGCGCGAGGTGGCGTGGTAAAACTGCCAACCAGGCGCGTCCGGAACAAAGCCGAGGAAGACGCAGGGAACAGCACGAGAGGAGAGCTTGTCCGTAGACGAATCGCGGACAAAAGCTCGAGATCCTCAGACCCGGAAACGCGACGCATCGCCAACCTACCCCGTCCACAGCAGTGTGGGCGAGGTCTTCGGCAAGGAGACACGGGGCCAGAGGTTGAGCTGATGCGCAGCGTACCGGACCGCAAACGGCCACAGAAAGTGGGGGGCAGCCGCATGGATCAAGGAGGTACGAGCGACCTCCATGACCAGGCCAATGCGGCGCTCCGCAACCCCATTCTGCTGTGGAGAGGCCGGAAGCGTGAACGACTGCTCAATGCCGTGCTCAGCACAGTAGGCTGCCAAGAGGTCGGAGGAGAACTCACCACCTCTGTCAGAGTGCAAGCGCAGGACAGGAAAGTCCGAGCGGAATCGCTCGCTGAGCTGGAGACGAGCTCTGCAGATCCAAGGGATCAAAACATCAGGGACCTCACCCTTGGTGCGCAAGGGGAAGACCGTGGTGTAGCGCGAGTAGTCGTCAACAACGATCAGGAAGTACCTCTCCTGACCCTGACCACGGACGCGGGCTGGGCCCCACACGTCCATGTGGAGCGTCTGCAAAGGAGCAGACGTCGGGGGAAACGAGGAGGAGTGAGGAGCGGCGCGCCGCCGCCCCTCGACACAGGGAAGACAGGGAGGAGCAGGCGAGGGTGGGAGGGGAGGGAGGACCCTGGGAAGACCAGAGACAAGGTACCGGGAGTGCATGGCACGAAGGCGCTGCACAGACGGGTGGCCAAGTCGGTTGTGCCAGAGGACAGTCTCGTGCGCTAGAGAGCAACACGAGCAGGGGGCGGACAGCTGACCTGACGCGGACGCAGACGCAGACGCAGCGACCTGAGGGGGGGCAGTAGTCAGTGTGTACAGGTCCGACCCCGGCTGCCGTGTGAAGGTAGCCAAGTGTCGGCCTGTACGGGCACACGTGCAGTGTGTGACACGCTCGTAGGCAGGGGTGAACTGGTGAACACTCGCGTCCTGTAGTGCACAACCTGCCACCAAGTTCGTAGAGAACGAGGGGAGGTGGAGACCTGACAGTGTGCCCGACGGGACCGCAGGACAGGGAAGGACAGTGGAGGAGGTCGCAAGGACCGGACCTCCAGAGGGGTCAGCGAGAGAGACAGCAACTGGCCGAGCAAGGGGCTCAAGGGCAGTGCGGTCACGAAAGAAACAGCGAGAGGCACCTGAATCCAGTGTGAAGGTGTGCAGTGCTGCAGTCGACACAGTACTAGGGGGGGCAGACGTACACGCACCTAGAGCAGCTGCCTCACCAGCACCTGGGGTAGCGGACACGCGAGTACCTGGAGCGGCAGACGCACTTGTCCTAATGCCCGGGTCGGGCGGGACACTCAGGTACTCAGCACCCTCTCCACTAGTAGACATCACATACATGGCAGTGAGAATAGCATCAAAGTCTAGAGCATAAATATCAATCCCCTTCTTCAGGAGATCAACCCAGCGGGGCAGCTCAGTGGCCTGAGGGAACTGAACACGCCAAGCGTCGTTCAGACGAGCGAAGCAATGCTGTGTGGCGTGCGGTCCCCCACACGGCTGGCCAGTGCGGTCACCAGTGCAAATGACGTACGTGTAGCTAAGGCCACCCCCCCCCCCCCCCCCCCGTGCTGAGAGTACCACTCACGGACCTCCTGGGGCGACAGAGTGTGCTGCTGGCCCTGGCCACCGCAAGCGCCTCCACGACCACCACCGCCGCTACCACCTCCTCGACCACCCCAACCCCGGCCGCTGCCTCATCCACCGCTACCCCCACCACCTCCTCCGCCCCGGCCACCTCCCCCGCCGCTGCCGCCACCCCCCCCACTGCTGCCACCTCCCCCACCCGCGCCACCCCCCCCGCCACCACCACCTCCCCCACCACCGCCACCCCCGTTGTCACCACCACCGCCCTTGCCCTTGCCGCTGTGGCGCCCACTCGAAGCAGACGCAGTCCCAACCTTCTCAGCACCAAGGAGGTCGACAACAGCAGCAGAGGCGACAGAGGGAAGAAGGGGGGAGGGAGAACACCCCTCAAAGAACGGGGTACGGGGGTCACCGCGAGAGGCACCTACAGCGACTATGCTAGCCTCAGCTGCAAGGAGTTCCTTCTCGAGGAGGGCAATGGTGAGCTCGGTGGGGCAGCGAGCTAGGAAGTGGTCCCTGACTGAGCGCAGAGTGTCAGGGAGGCGCGTGACTAGGTGGTAGAGAGTGAGCCAGAGCGGGGGTGGGTTCTTGGCAAGGAACTCATTAGGCATAGCGGCGCGGAAGCGAGCCTCACTAGTGCGGAGGTGGGTAATGAGATCAGCGACAGCGTGGAAGGAAGCTAAGTCGGGGAATAGGTAGGGAAGAGAGAGACGGCCTAGAGCGGCAGAGGCCGGTGAGGAGTAGCGGGCAACGACAGCAGTGTACAGTGCCTGTGCAGTCCTGTGCTGCCCAAAGTGCTCGCGCTCATCTATCCGCAGAGAGTTGCGAATAGCGAAGCGAGTATGGGCGTCACGAGTCTGCCACTGTGAGCGGGCAGTGCTGTCAGCAGTAGCAGCAGGAGCAGTAGCGTGGCCTAAGGCATGATCGTACAGCGAGATGTCTTCCTTGGCAGTGAGCTGTAGGAAGAGGTGTAGGTCATCAAGCCAGGTGTCGAACTTCACTGGGCGGCCCTCAGCATCGAAGGCTAGCACAGGAGGGCTAGCCATGGTAGCAGCAGTAGGAAAAGCAGTAGGAGCAGTAGGGTAGGTAGGGCGGCGCGGCTCGGTACAGGTAGGGCGGCACGGCGCGGTATAGGTAGGGCGGCGCGGCTCGGGTCGGGCGGCGCGGCTCGGTTCGGGCGGCTCGGTTCGGGCGGCTCGGGTCGGTTAGGGCTGGCGGCTCGGGTCGGGCGGCTCGGTTCCGTTAGGGCTGGGCGGCTCGGGTCGGCTCGGTTCGGGCTGCTCGGTCTGGATGGGGCCGTTCGGAGCCGCTAAGGGCGAGCGCGGGGAGCGGGTGGGGCCGTGAGGGACGAGCGCGGGGCCGACGTGGGTGCTAAGGGCAAGCGCGGGGCCTATCGGGGCCGTGAGGGACGAGCGCGGGGCCGATCGGGGCCGTAAGGGACTAGCGCGGGGCCGACGTGGGCCTCTAAGGGCGAGCGCGGGGCCTATCGGGGCCGTGAGGGACGAGCGCGGGGCCTATCGGGGCCGTAAGGGACGAGCGCGGGGCCGACGTGGGCCTCTAAGGGCGAGCGCGGGGCCTATCGGGGCCGTGAGGGACGAGCGCGGGGCCGATCGGGGCCGGTAAGGACGAGCGCGGGGCCGACGCGGGCCTCTAGGGGTAAGCGCGGGGCCGATTCGGGGCCTCTAAAAGCAAGCGTGGGGCCGACCAAGGCCTCTAGGTGCGAGAGCGCGGGGCCGACGGGGCCTCTAGGGGCGTGAAAGCCGAGGCGCCCTAGGGCGCAGGTAGGTAGGTAGGTAGGTAGTGGTGGGCCCTAAAAAAAATCGGTCCTAGGAAGGACCTGCTCTATACCATGTTGAACAAGAATGAATGAAGTAAGAGTGAAATGAGTACAGATATGAAAACCTAGGAATGTGTACCCCCTATAGGCTAACCCACTGTAGCCTAAACAACTACAACAGCATATATAATGTTTGACAGCGAAGGCATCCTATTGCTGTATCCTCTCCGCTCGCATTCCAATATCTAACGTAAGCCAGCTCCTCCCTCTCTCCACGTATTTTTGTATGGAACGACAGAAGAAACATTGCATACCACTTCTCTCTCCGACCATACCGTACACCCTCCACTACAACATGCGAGTACCATGGCCTCTCAAAATAGTCAGGGATCGCTCGAACGGAGTGAGAAACTCTTGAGAAGCTGGCGTCGTCTGCTGCAGGGATTGCCAGCGATGCATGGGCCTACATAACAGTTGATGTTAGTCATGTATGATACGAGCCAGCCAAATGATGGTTGATTGCATAAACTTGCAACTACTTACTCGAATCTTGGTGACGCATCCTGCATAACGCATAAGCGCATCCTTGAGGGCAGCTTGGGCACGAGGGTGTTGCTTGGCCCACTTCCTTGCAAACCAGTTGGTGGAGGCGGGTTCTTGTGGTAACTCCACAGGGAGGAAGTATGACTCCTTGATGAGCGTCTGTGTGTCGGTCTCAATCGCGTGCCAACATATGCTATTGATATTATTACATTTTGCATTCATATCCATGCAATTCAAGCACTAAACAGATTTACCTGCCGCATGGCGTTGTCCCGGCCAGCAGGATCATCCACCGGCACCACATCCGGAATGCGCCTAGCATGGAACTTCATGATCCGCCCATCTACATTGCGCTTGTTGGACCGACGGTAGATCCTCTTTACCAACGGTCCGTGCAAGTGCTCGAGCATGTTGGTGCTGAATTCAGTCACATGACCCGCGCGACGTATGGAGTCAACGTAGTGCGACATGAGATGTGTTTTCACAAGGCACCAAGAGGATGGCTGCTTTGGAAACGCAGCCTGCAACTGCTCAACGAGCCTGATGGGAGTGGGAGATGACAACACATGCAATCACAAAGTCTACTTATTCATATGGTTTTCCTTTTCCTGATCCTTTCCTATCAAAGTTTAGCACCAAACATCCTCACAAGATTGCCTACTACAAGAGCACATTTACAGTAGCCAAGCATTCATCCCATGCACGGGGGTTTACATGCATGGTATTATTACCGAGAGGTCATCTTCTTCAGCTCCAGGAGGGACCGCTCAATGTGCCCCTGAGGCTGGGAGCATAGGATGTACCAGCCAAGATAGGCACGAACGGCATCCATCTGGGGCTGGCAAAGCAGGCCTGCAAAAACAAACACCATGACCTGCAAAGAATGTGGATAGCAGCAAAGGGGAGGGTGAGCAGAGATGGTGTGAGGAGTTGGGACAAACAATGGCAGCATGAGCAGACTGCTTGAGGGTTTAGGCCAGGACAAGCAACAAGGAATGGAGGGTTCATACCTGCATGACAGCCCTGTGCTCATAGGCCGCCACACATGCTCCGGTCTCGAAGTAGGCGCTCTCCGGCAGGCGCATGTGATTTAGACGCGTGCGGTCGCGAATGAGAGACAAGCGCCTGCCCATACACATCAGTTCAGCGGTGGCAAAAGGGCAGAAACATGTCAGTAATAGGACAAAACTTATGGTTTGAGTAAATGTGACGAAGAGCAACGAATCCAATCCCCAAAACACTGATCTGTCCATCTGCTTCACACGCCGCTTCTTCATCTTGCGCACGACAACCACAATGTGGCTCATGATGCCCAGGTCCGCCTGGTGCATGATGTCAGGCATCACCACGAGGTAGGGATTGCCCCACGCGGTCCCTGGGACATCCCACTTCCAGAGCACGCACTGGAAATGGGGATGTGGTGGGGAATGGAGGAGAGATGTACGTGAGAGTGGATAGCTAACCTAAACCACAAGTGGGGTGAGTTCAATGGGGCAGAGCACATCTGGCAATTCATGACGGGGCGGGCGAGAGCATAGACTACTCATGGGCCAGGGAAACAGGTCACTCACCTCAACAGGGTAGGTAGAGTAGGCCTTGCACGGGTCAGCCTGGCTAGTTGTCGTCCCACCCGCCTCATTAACGATCCATTGCTGCTGTTCAGGCATGCGCGGCGTGTTCCGTGCCTTGACAGCAGTCAGATGCTCCTGTTGTAGCACGGGGGTGAGGGATGGGATAGAAAAGGTAAGGGTGGTAGCTATGTGGGTTCTATCAGGCGATCCACAAACGAGAATGTATTTGAATGCGTGCAGATGGCATGTGACCTCACCTTTGCAGCATAGCAGATGCTGCACGGCATTTGCGATCCATGCGAGAGTGTGCAACTGATCTTGCCGCTCTCGGGGTAGTCGCACACCCAGGCGTACAGCAGGGGCCGCACGGTTTGCCAATCACCGAAAGGGTCCCTGAGACGGAACCCGCTGCAAGGAACAGGTAGAGGGGCAACAGGAATTTGGGTTACGGCTTTTAGGGAGGAACGACGAGGGGCAAAGGGCCATGCTACATACAGAGAGGGTTTGCATACCATGCAGGTGGTGAGATGATGTCTTAGCAAGATGCAAACCGAGTACGGACCTGGCGATGCCATCAAAAAGCGGCTGCAGCACGGTGATGACGCAACGCTGGAAGAGCATCACCTTCTCCACGGCAGACATTGCAGACGGGGGGATAGGAAGGAGGGCAAGTAGTGTGTGCCCGGCTTTCCCCCATCGCTTGGCGTGGGAGATGTTGGCCAGCGTCATCATGAGCGGCCACGCCTTCTTCCGGCCGTTGATGCTCATGTGCGTCACATCCGAATATAAGATGACCCCCCCCACAACATCGAACCAACCGAAGTGTTCCTGCAATGCACGACAAAGCGGCAACGGACACACGGTTTAGGGCTCAAGATGCTCTTGACAGATTAGTGCAGCGATGGAGGCATGAGGAAGGATTGGGTTTGGGGTGGCAACGTGGTCTTTCTTTACCTGAGCATCGTTCCACCACGTTCCTGTTTCAGGCATGGTATAGCGACGGCTGCCAGCGTCAGGGTCCTCATAAACACGCGCCTTGAGCTTGAAGCCGGGTGCGTTGTTGGGATGTCCAAACATTTCAGCGAATGCCTGGTGTACGGTGGCGAAGGTAGGTGAGAGGAGAGGCATGGTTAGTGGCGGTGAAGGTGGGTGTACGGTTAATACAATGATAACTACGTACATGCAAACCCTGTGTGCCTCATCATCATTTCACAGCCTTGAATGCAAAGTCGGCTTACCTGGGCTGAGTTTTGAAAGAGCAAGCGTTGTGGTGGATGACCGTCAATCTCGAAGGTCGCCACCGACCATCCGCGATTGAGCCCTGCCAAACGCTCCATCTCGAACCGCTCCAGATCGTTACAGTTCCGGAGCTCCGAGATCACAAGAGGCGCAAGGCCGGGCTCTACGACTAGCTGAAGTAGGCCGTTGATGTCAACCTCGGCCATTCCCATTCCGCCATTCACGCGCCGAACGAAATGCAGCAACTTCAACGCGAGCGGATTGAGGGGCGTGGCATTTCTCTGTCCGGAGATGATTGTTGGCGGCGCGGCATGACTCCCTTCGGGCCGGCTCTCAGGATGGTCACTCGTGTCAGCCGCAGGAGCTCCTGGTTGTGGTTGATGTTCATCTTCAGGAGGCCCCTCGTTCATGTCGTTGGGAGTTTCGTCAACGTGGGCTTCAGGCACGCGTGGAGGACCGCTCACACTGACGGCGTTGGATGCGTTAGACGCTGTAGGTGAACCGGGAGCGGCCAGAGCGTCCGACAGAATGTCGTGGACGAATAGCAGAGCGTGAAGACCGGCGGTCGGTGCAGATCGCGTCGGCCTTGCCACGGCAGATAGTCCTTGGCAAGGGGTCCGCCGTGACTTATGACCGCCATAAACTTGGGCGTTGGGGAACCATCTATTGCAGAACTCGCAGACGACACCTGGTAAAGAGCCCATGTGTTACGGATCCGTTGTAGAGTTGAGAAATTGCCTATGAAGCTACTAGCCGTGATGAAGCTTATGAACGCATTAAGTACTCCATTCAAGAAGCCTGTGACAGCTACACGATCATCGCCAATGCGCGCACTGTGGTGGGCAGCTTGTATCACTGCACAACTGGCACTTGACATTGGCGCTAATGTTTATGACTGGCTAACGATGTCGAGCCG